TTCTGCCAACGACGTTCACAAGTCAATATTTGCCTTCACGTTTCTCGCTTTCTTCTCGTTTTTTATTTCATTGCTGTGCCCAAGCAAACACACACATCCTTGAACCTTGAGCACACCCCGATGACCTTGACTTATGAGCTTTCGTTGGCCCTCAAACAAAACAAGGCAATTGCTCAAGTTCAAGGGCGCACATTGCGTGTCAATGCCAGAAGGCACTAAACTCATTCACTTGTCGCCAAATGAGCTGCATTTCAATTGGTTTTAATTGGGGGAATCACAGAGAAAAGCCATAAGCATTGAGTACCCTCTCTCTCTAGTTTGTGTTACTTTATGAATCACTGTTATCAGTGGGCCTATCCGAGTTATAATGGAGGGAAACGACCCTTATCTTTGGTGGAAAACTGCACAGTGATAAATAAAAAGAGGCATTAACATTCGAGTTCGATTAAGTCACGGCCAGGTGACGTCATTGCCACGCGTAACCATTTAAAAAATATACAAAATATACTTAGAACATAGAGTTATTGTACCATTTCTCATATTCGTATTCGAAATTCCAGTTAATTTTACATTTCTATTTAAGTTCCTTATTGTATTTATTCCAATTTAAATCGCTTCACCCTTGACCATCATCATCAAATGCATTTTGCATTTGCATTTCCCATCTTATGCTTAAACGAAGAGCAGCAGCAGTGCAGCCGATGGCAACCGAAGCATGAAGAGCTGACCAAACGCAATTTTCAATGGGAAACCCCCGTCATCAGACTCCTCACCCGCCGCCACCCATTTGATTTGTGTGGCAATATGTTGAGGCGTTTGCTGCTTAATTCCAAAGAGTTTACGATGGAAAGTGTTTAGGAGCAGTCGGGCATGGCCCCAACTAGCAACCATCCGCCCCGTCAACAATTGCAGCTGATGAGTTTGTGCATTAGCCAGATGAAAACCGATGGGAGGTCAAGAGAGTCCAGCTGATTGGAGTGGCATTTTCTATGCATTTTCTATGCATTTTCCATATGTAAAGGGGTAAATTGAAATCGATTTTTAATCAGACTGATGAAAAGAGGGAAGAATATTATACAATATTAAAATATGAACTCTTAGCTTCATAATATATAAAGCAAAAGACAACCAACTCACGCCATTTGTTAAATCAATCTATGCTTGTGAATATTGATTCATTGTCCTATTTCATAGATTTCAATCAAGTAAAGGCATTGATTTTTCATGATTTCAATTTAGAACTCGGAACAAACATAGAAGTAAACAAATACAAACAGTGTGCGCCACAGAATTCCTAAGAATCTATATTGCATTTAATCTCCGCCCTGTCCCGCCGAAGCACTTGAAGAAACCTTGGAGTTCATTCGGTTGCTTATCAGTTCATTGATATGGTATGGTATGCTCTTTATGGCTTAACCAATTGTTTAAGGGTACCCGCATATTTCCCTCTCCAAACACCATGATAAAACATAAAGAACAGAAGAACCCAAGGCAAAGTCAAGTTGATTTCTTGAGCGCAGAACAAACATTACACAAACTTGGCATACTTTATTTTTTGGGGGCTCTTCTCCAAAATCAGTGGAATACCAGCTCGAGGACGGAAACATACAATATCGCTGAAAGAGAGAGAAACAGAGAGACTGGTGGTCATATCTCACATTTTCTATTTATTTCCCTCGCCCCTGTTATCACAGGCAGCACAAGTCTGAGGAATAGCGATAAGATAAGAAAAAAAACCTAGCTAAAATACAATTTTGCCATACAAATTCATTTAACCCCGCGGCTGAGTCACCTGCAGGCACAACTGTTGAATGCAACAGACCAGCAAAAACAAAAAAAAAAAAAAGAATAATAAAAATAAAAACAAAGTAAGAGGCTAAAAAAAAATGTATTTGCATATCAATAAAGCGGTTCCGTTCGCTTCGCCTGCGACGAAATGCAAATGAAAAATAATTGAAAACAAAAATGTAATATTTTTTTGCCTTATTTTTTGTACATTATACATTTAAAGTCGTTTCGAGGCATATCCGTTGGGTACTTCTAGAGAATTTTAATATCAGAAACCTCAGGAAAGAATCATTCAGAAACATTTAAATTAACTTTAAAAATATATATAGTAAATTATTTTGAATTATTAAAGCTACGCTACCATTCAACAAAAGTATCCATAATCTTATTTAGATATTTTCTAATGATTCAGAAAATGTAGTAAATACTTATTAATTTTCTTTTAAGACGTTGTCTAAGAATAAGGCTTCTATTTAGATCCCTATTTAAATATTAATATATTCATAATGTATTTGTATTTGTATACATTTACACATATTGAATTCCAATTGACATCTATTTTTTTATATCAAAGATGACTCACTTCTCCAATAGATAGAGTATTCCCCCTTCGCCAAACATCTGCCCTTAATTCGCGATTTTCGTGACAAATTTCCAACGAATGCACAATGACTCATGTGAGCGATCCATCAGGTCTCATAATTTCAGCGAACAAGGTATAAGAAATTGTAGGCAGAGAGAAAGAGCCAGGCTAATGGTAATGGGACCAGCAGATGAAGGCTTGGCGGTACCATTTCTTCATTAACCCATTGGCAGCGATTCCAGAGCCCACGCCATAGTCAATTCAAGACAAAATCCAGGCGTGGCAAGGGCAATTTATTAAAATGTCAGGAGAGCGTTTTGGCTCTGAAAGGAGTGCTGGAGAAATATCATAAGCCTCAACAGAAACGATAAGATAAAAACCACATAGAGAAAAGGAACTTGGATTCAATAAATTCTTAAAATATTACTTGGTTTCTTTGGTAAAAAAAGATACTCTTTACAAAATGATTTTTTAAACCTTAAATAGTTAGTATAAGAATTTCAAACTCACTTCTTCTGTTGTTCTATCAATCTCTTTGTTTCTCATTTACATTTTTTCTCAGTGCATTGAGAGAAATAATAGCAAAATATGAAATCTGATAAAATGTTTTCATTTGGCCATACATTTTGTTGACCATTGATTGCCATTGTTGCTAGCTTTGTGTTGGCGTTACATAAACTCGTCATTTTGTTGTTCGCATTTCCACTTTTTTCTTTTTGTTGTCTAGCAAAACCGAATCACTTAAACAAGCGGAAGAAAGCAGCTTTGTTTGGGATGCAAATGTAGCTAGTGTATATATACAAAATATTGTATATAGAGAGCTGAGCAAGCTGCTGCTGCTGCTGGCCTTTCCATTGTGTCTGTCCCTTGGAAATTGTTCATCAAAAGAAATCATCATCAGTAGATGACGGCCCACGGGTGCGGTGCATATTTCGGGATAGTAGGGGGTTTCAGGGGAGGGTCTTTCAATCAGCTTCCCATTATCAGCCGGCAACATCAACTAAAAAGCGAAAAAAAAGAAAGGAAGAAAAGCGAAACACAAAGACTGCACAATCTTGGGGTCTCTCCACAAAGAAGCCATTAAGATTTATTAATATTGTCGGCCGCCTCTCCTTAGTGGGAGTAGTTCCTATCGATCGGGGATTATCATTGAACAGTAGCCAAAAGGGTCAGCTAAAGGGTCAGCTTTACGAGGAAAAATCGAAAGAGCGAATAAAAGCAAGCACAAAAGCTAAAGCTTGGAAAATAACTGAATAATTGAAAGTGAATTCGCTTGAAAAAATATATTTTTGCGTACTATGTTTAATATTCTATTTTAGTTTCTTGGGGTCTTCCAGCACAAGTCCAAGGTTAATTTAATAAATTTGCAATTAACAAGTGCCCTCTAATTGGAACAAAAAGAACCAATCTCTATAGTTTTTATTCACAAGCCTATCATAACAGCAAGTCGCAATTTTAGAGCAGACATTTATTACTTGGAGAAAAGATAAGCTTAAAAAAATATAAATGTAGGTTATTGTTGGATTTTATGGGGAATTGCAGTGATAAGAATTATAGAACATAATTCATGAGATATATTTAAGCATTTATACACTGTTACTTTTAAAGTATTTTATGGATTCCAGGATGCTTTTCCTGGATAATTTTTTAGACCATATTTAAATTGTTAAATCTTAATCAACCCTAAATGTATAGTTAAATCTCTTAGCTACCTTAAAGCAAGTTTCAAATTCATGATAAATTGCTTTTTATTTAAAAGAATTCTAAAAGAGTTAATTAACTCATAAAAAGAACTGAAAAAACCGCAGAGTTTTGCCTGTTTCACAGTTACTTTTATTTTTAACTGGCGAGAAAGAGAGAACATTTCCACTAATTTGCATCCGAGTACATTTTTTTCTCCGACTTCCCATTGTGAATTTGCCAAGTTTTTTTTTTTTTTTTTTTTTTTCCAGGGGTTTATAGAGGTGGGGGAGGGGGTGAGAGAGGGGTTAAAGCTTTTCAGCCGCTTGAACAGTGTAAATTTATAGCTACGTGAAATCATCAACACAAAAAAAATACTCATTTTAAAGACCTTTTCTTTAGCCAGCTGAAAAAAAAAAAGAAAACCGGTTTCTTGGTTTTGTGTTTTAAATAAATTTATATGTTTTTTTTGTTAACTGTAGCTGTAAAAATGTAGTAACATGTTCATCTTGTAATTTCAAACGTAACAAGAACACCAGATAAATATTTCTCAATACTTTTAAATATTTCCTCAAAATGTTTGACGTATTTTATTTCATTTAAATAATTTCTAAACTTAAAATTCAGTTTTCTTTCATATTTTTCTTACAGATTATTTCAAAACTATTTATCTTATCTGTGAAATTTCCACTTTGTGAGCCCAGGGATTCCAAGGGATTTCCACAAGAAAACCCAGTGTCCTTGGGTTAAAGGCGACACACCCACCCCAAACGAAAAACAACAACAATAACAAGAAGTGGTATTTTCGGGGCGCACACAATGCGAATATGGCGCGTAAAAGGAAGACGGCAAGAATAGGCGGGACCCACCCCGAAAAACTAGAAAAGCAAAGCCAGGCGCAAAAACACACTCGAGACAAACTGCAGTTTTTGGAGAGTTGAAAACTTACTGTTATTATCCATGTTGCTGCTGCTGCTGCCTACTGGTAACCAATGATTTCAGCAGGTTCAATGCACCGTGTCAGATTCTTTTTGTTGTTGTTTTTCCTCAACTGCGACAACAACAGAATCGAGTTTATGAATCACGCGCGCGTTAACCGCAAAAAGAAAATAAAGAGCGAAGGTAGCGCAAACTAAAGACGGTAGGAAATACCTAGAATTTATATACACAGGTATTTCTTTTGACGGGTTTTATTTTGACCCTGTTCGCAGTTAAATTTCGACGGTGAGAGAGGGGCGGGGACGAGAACGGGGACTGCGAGAGCGCATTTAATTTCGCGTCACGTAAAAAACGCCGCCGCACCGAAATTTATTGTTGCAGTGTTCTTCCTCTCTAGCTGCACTCTTTAGCCGCTTCTTCGCCTGGGCTCCTTCTTCTGCCTTTCCTATTCGCTGGCTTTCTTCGCCCTCACGCACTTGCATTTGGTTATCTCGCTTTCCTCGTATGCACTCTCATTCGTATGCACTTTATTTACTTTGCTTTGCTATTGATTTTCGCCACTTGCACTGTAATTTTAATTTTGAAACACGCAATGTGGAAACACTTTCGGCGCCACTTTTCCAAGCAGCCGCCTTTTCCCGATTTTTATTGTTAATAAACTGCGGCGAAGAGCGAAAAACGCGAAACGCCGACGCACAACACAGCCGCTTCGATTTTTTGTTTTTTTTTTTTTTTAACTCGCGTTTCACTCGTATTTATAGGTTTTGGTTTGATTTTTTGCCAAAATACCAAAATCGCGATATTTTTGTTTAATATTTTTTTATATTTTCTCGTTGGTCACTCTGATGTCAATTTACATGCTTGGGGTCGAATTCTCGTTTTTGGGGTCGAATTCTCATGTAGAGTGTAAAAATGTAAGTATATAAAAATACCGAAAACGCGATATTTGGTATTTTCTCGTTGGTCACTCTGAATTTCAACGTGAAATGTCAAAACAAAGTTTTACTTGCTTGGGGTCGACGATCTGGCAACGCTGGTCGCTCGTGCCGCGGCGTTGCCAGACTTTTCGGTCCCAGCTAATAGTGCTGCCAGACTTTTCGGTCCGAGCGACCAAAAGTGCCAGATCAACGTAAAATGTCAAAACAACGTTTTACCGACGATCTGGCACTTTTGGTCGCTGGGACCGAAAAGTCTGGCACTGGTCGCTGGGACCGAAAAGTCTGGCAACGCCGCGTCACGAGCGACCAGCGTTGCCAGACTTTTCGGTCCCAGCTAACAGTGCTGCCAGACTTTTCGGTCCCAGCGACCAAAAGTGCCAGATCAAGACTTTTCTATCACAGTCAACTCACCACTGGTTTAAGTCCAGGCTTTTTGAATAGCACATGAAAAAACCGTTAATTAAATAAAATATTTAAAATTAAGAAACTTTTGTATTTAAAGTTTCAGATTTCATGGTTTTTAATTTGTATATTAATCTAGAAATTTTCGATTTCTTAAATATATTTCAAGCTTGTGGTGAACTTGTGGTTACCAAGGAAACGCTTAAAATAACCAAAACAAATTCGTGGCTTTGTTATTTATTTATTTGTTTCGACTATTGAAATTACTGGTAATAATTCAAGAAACTCATTAAATACAAAACAAAAAACTCCTAAAATGAGTGCCACTGAAAATCAAGGAGCTGATGCAGTTCCTCCTCCGCCACCCACGGCTGCTGGCAGGCCAAGACCCCCAACTTCGCAGCTTTTTTCGGTGAGTCCACGAAAATATCCTTTGAAATTCAGTTTGAGAAAAACCTGATCCTTTAGCGAGGAAATCTGGTCAGCAGTCGGGCTGCTGGTGGCGACAAAACCTCCTTGGCCAGACCCTCGACGGCAGTAAGAGCTGTGGGCTATGCTGCCAATAGCGCCGGAACCAACCAAAAGTTTGATCAGTTTTTCCTGGAAAAGGCCAAGCAACAGACGCTGTCCTCTGCAAATGCAGCTGTGGATGCGGCCAAGGAAGTCAAGTGAGTTTATAGTATATTGCGTAAAGTTCCTTATGAATATCTCACTCACACTGCTTCCTGTAGTCCTCAAATCAAATACAAGAATCTAGAGAGCAAAATAGTCAAGCTCTTGGAATCCTCCATCGTTTTGGCCAGGCAGAGCTCCACCCCGGGAGAGCCCACATCCGAAGCAAAGTCCTCAGCCGAGGCCTTGAACAAAGCCAAAGAAGCCTTCTCCTTGGATCGAACCCTGCACAGATTTCGGGACCAGCAGGGCGAGAATGTCTATCACAACTTTGACTTGACCTATGCGGTGAGACTATCCTTAAACCCTTCAAGATCCCTTAAAAATCCCACTCCCTTTCAGGTCTTTTTCAATCTCGCCGAGCAATACGAGCGCAATGATCTCCACATCGAGGCCCTCAACACTTACAGCATCATGACGAAGAACAAAATGTTTCCGCATGTAAATCAGCTAAAGATCAATATGGGCAACATTTATTTCAAAATGGGACTCTATCAAAAAGCGGTGAAGATGTATCGCATGGCCCTGGATTCGGTACCCAAGAACCTGAGCCAGCTGCGCTTGAAGATCCAGGAGAACATAGGTGTCCTCTTTGTTCGCATGGGCTCCTACTCGGATGCGGCCTCTAGCTTCGAGTTCATCATGTCTGAACGGGCGGACATCAAGTGTGGCATTCATCTGCTGCTCTGCTGTTACGCTCTCGGAGATGTGGATAGAATCAAGACAGCCTTTCGCAGCCTGTGTGATGTACCTCCTGGAGAGACGGACACGGATCTGGGCACCGAGAGCAGCATCATTAAGCTGCAGCAGCAGGCGGGTCAGGTAACTGGAGGTCAAGAGGAGCTGGACAAACCTACGGATACTCAGGCCGATGTGGCTGTGATTGATGCTGAAGGTGGCGGCTCCTACGAGAAGGTACAAGAGTCCTCAAAGTCCTCCGCCAAGAACAAGCAGCGCTATGTGCTCCAAGCCCTCAAGGCCGATGAACTGGCAGTGTACACCAAGCAGCGTAGAAATGCGGAGAAGCGTTCCATCACCATGATTGTGGACTTGATATCGCCACTTATCGAGGAGAACTACAACGATGGCTACAACTGGTGCATCGAGGTGATCAAGTCCTCGAATATGGCCTGGCTGGCCAGTGAACTGGAGCTGAACAAGGCCTTGGTCTATCTCCGGCAAAACGATGTGAATCAGGCCATCGAAACCCTACAGATGTATGACCGCAAGAGCGAGGGTTCCATGACGGCCAGTGCTTTGACCAATCTCAGCTTCATCTACATAAGTCTGGGCAACCTGGAGATGGCCAGGCACTGCCTTAACCAGCTGCAAGAGATCGGGGCACTAGACACAAATCCTCTAGCCTTGATCAATGCCAGCATTGTGGATCTGCAAAAGCAGGACTTGGTTTCAGCCCGGGAACGCCTAAAGCGGGCTCTGCAGCTGCAGCCCACTAGCTTTGAGGCTAACTACAACCTAGGACTGGTGGCCTTGGCTCAGCAGGATTACGAGCTGGCCGAGGAGCGTTTCGAGCTGCTGAAGGCCCAGCTGTTGGTGCCGCATTCCGTGCAGCATAGCCACGTTTTCTATCAGCTGGCCAAGCTCCAGGAGCGCCGTTTAAAAGGAGGCTCCCCGGGAGCTTCGCTGCAGGGTTATCTCCAGGTCCTAGGCATATCCGCCGCCGACATAGACTCCCGGCTGTTTGAGAAGGTCGGTTCGCTGTACGAGCAGATCCAGGACCACCAGGAGGCCAATCAGTACTACAACGAGGCGTATCGCATCAATATGAGCGACATAAACATTGCCAGCTCTATTGGTTCCTACTACATCAAGCTGCAGGCCACGGAGAAGGCGCTCTACTACTACGAAAGAGCTGTCCTCGCGGATCCCAATGATCCCAACTTGATGCTCCGCATAGCCAGTTGCTTCAGGAACTCGTATCTCCCGCCCAAGCAATATCTGGGCATGTTTCAGAAGATCTATGCCCGGTTCCCGGACAATCTCACTTGTGTTCGAGCCCTGATGCAGGTGACCAAGTCTCTGGGGATGTCAGATCTCCACGAGCGCTACGCTGCAGACTATGCTCGCCTGCACAAGCAGCAGCAGGAGCGCCAAAATGAGCAGCGCTATCAGCAGCAACGCCTCTCCTCGGCCACCTCGTCGTCTGCCTCCTCCGGTGGCAGCCGTTTGCGCAGTGTCCGCAAGTCCAACGAGGAGCGCGTTCAGGAGAATACCGATCTGTCGCAGGGCATGACCTATGCCCAGAGGTCTACCTCCTATGCCGTGCAGCAGTTTGATCCCTTGGGTCCACCCGCCGAGCGTCCGCGCACTGGGATGTATCGGGGTCAGAAGAGCAAGGATGATTCCGATGATGATGCGGAAATGAATGCCGAGAGTTTGCTGCCCATTTAAGGGAACACCAAGCCTTGTCCTTGCTTTGTTCAACAAATTTTACTTCAATTCTTGATTATATCAATGGCATAATAAATATTATATGAGACTTATATTCACGATTCAATTGTAGGCCACTAGGAGACCCTTGGCCACCTCCTGGGCCTTTGCCTTGCCCACCAGCTCTTCGGCTATTTTCAGGGCGAAGTCATAAGCGGTGCCAGGTCCTCGGCTGGTAATGAGATTGCCATCCTGAACCACAAGCTCACCCTCCACGTAGCTGAAAATATACAATTTAAACAATATACATTTATAAATATTAATCTTTAAGTTTAAAGTTAAACCTGTATTTATCGACCAGCTGCTCCTTCATGGAAGGATATGAGGTGAGCGACTTTCCGGTGGCGATTCCGTGCTTGGCCAGAACTGTGGGCGCAGCACAAATGGCCGCAATGAGTTTTCCGCCGTCTTCATGGGCCTTGAGGATGTCGCCCACCACCGGCGAATCTCCCATAGCATTCGAGCCGCCCAATCCGCCGGGCAGAACCACCACATCGAACTTATCGGCGGCCACCTTGGACAGCTCAATATCCGGGAGAATATGAACGTCCCGGGAACATTTTACCGGCTCCGAGCCATTCAAGCCCCCTACCGTGACCTTGATCTATCAAAACATATAGTATTTATAAGGAAGTGAAGATGATTTCCTGGGGAAGACGTATAGAACTCACCCCAGCACGACGCAGTACATCGGCAGCAATGATGAACTCCATTTCCTCGGCACCGGGAGCCAAGATAATCAAGGCGCTTTTCGACATATTCACAAATTTTTTAAATCCGCGAGAAATTACAGAAACCATGCAATAGTGTTGTCGGTTTAGCTAACTACAAGCTAGATCTAGCATATCTGAAAATATGACCTCTAGACAAGTTAGATTCATAGCTAAAATAATCTAAAAATATACTAACATATACTAAAAACATATAGCTACAATAAAAAATCAAACATATATCGCGATAGTTAGCAGATATTTTCAACTGAAAACAGCTGCTTTCATACAAACTTCTAATAGTATATGCTAAATTTCGAAATACATCTCCAATATGTTCAATAATTCAGTATTTAGTCGTCAATAGAATACCTGGCTATTTTACAGCTATAAGCTAGCCGTATTTTTTCCGCTTTTTCTTATTTCAAAAACGCTAGATCCAGCCGCAAATAAGCTGAGCTGGCAACACTGCCAACAACATTTTCACATAATCGACAGCAACAAAAAGCCAAACCTCTCAGTAATTTCTACTAAATTTAAGGAAATCGCGCACCGAAAATGGCCGAAAAATCGGAATAGCCCAACGCGAAGGGTTGAAGTGCGTGCGCGACAGTGCAACAAGTGGAAAAGAGCGAGAGAGAAAGCAGAAGGCAGCGATTTGTCAACAACAAAAAGAGAAGAAAAAGAAAAAAACGGAGGAAAAAGAAGAAAAGAAATAAGTGCCGTGTGTTGAAAACGCGAAAAAGGCGAGAACAAAGAGCCAAAACGGTGGAAATTGTGTGGGGAAACGCTGGCCCGAAAGGTAAATGGGAAAATCCCTGGTGAAAATGCAACGTTTGCAGCTGGAATTTGCGTATTTCCCAGCCCAAAAGAAAATGCAATTCCCCTCAGTTAAGTGCGTGTGTGTGTTCGAGTATCTAACCTGTGTGCGTGTGTGGTGCGACTGTGCTTGTGCGTGTGTATGTATTTCCAATTGTGTCTGTGGAAACCGAGGAAAACTGCACGGAAAAACGCACAGCAGCAGGCTAAGCGAAAAAGCAATCAAAAATGTGCGGAAAAGTGCCTGAAAACGAAATGCGAATTCGCTGGCACACTCGCACACATGCAACAGGCTGTATTTACATATTTCTCTCACCCTCTCTCTCTCTCTCGCAATGGGAGTATCTGTGTGCATGTGTGTATGTGTGTGTGTGGGAGCATGTGAGAAAGAGAGCGAGCACGAGAGAGAGGCCCCCTGCGTTACCACATAAATCGGATTAAATTCTTCAGCTGCGTTCTATCTCCCATCTCTGTCAGCCAGTGTGTGTGTGTGTTGGTGGAAAACTATTAATACGAAATACCATTCAATTTAATTCGAGTGTAAATTGAATTTTCCTGCCTATCCCAGCGATTATTATTCGCTTTTCCAACTTATTGAAGCAAGGTCGTCATTTGCCACTATTTTTTAACTTTAATTAATTGTCGGCATAATTTCAGAGTCGAAAATTCACACGGAATTGCACAAAACGTAAATAAAAAACAATAATAAAGGGAAAAGGAAAAAAAAAAAAAAAAAAAAAACAACGTGACAATTACAGTAGCCGCAGCAAGAGCAACAATAATTGGAGGAATTAAAGAAAATAAAATTAAACTAAGCACAGTAAAGTCTCAATAAATGGGATAAACCAAGGATTTTTTAACATGATAACATTGACCCTGTGTTCTTATAGAGTACATTTCTTCTTCATTCTAAATGATATAATAATTATTTCTAGTACATTTTATTTTAGATTTTTAATTCAATAATTTAGCAAAATTTTCATAAAATTAATGCCAATTCAGCACTAGATCAAACAGTTAAACAACATAAACTCTTAGTTATTTAATAATCTTGTTGAAACTTTGAATCCATGTTTGTAATGATTCTATTTTTGCATACCATATACATTCTCATTAAATATCTAGTTCTTTAAATAGTTACTACTTTCCCGTAAATGTCTTGATCCTTTTCGGACTGTGTTTACTGTATTTGTGACAATATCTGTGGTGTGTTGCTGCAACCGTGGGCAGTTGCCTGTGATTTCCATATGAATAAAGCGCAGACACTGCAACCGGCAATATGAAGGAAAATCCATGCGAGCAGCAAAGTAAATGTAAATGCGAGAGATGCAAAATGTGGCACAAGTAACTGCAAAACAATCCCCCGCCCAGGCCTCAGTCGCAGCTCTTTGTAATTAGCGGCATCGCCGCCACTGCGCTTCAATGTCAGTGCGACAATAATTTCTCAGGCGGCGCTATTTATGCTTGCTGGCAATGGGATGCCGACCAGAAAAGTTGGACCCCTCCTCCTTTTCTCACAATTTTTTGCATGTCGTCATGTCTCAGCCAAAATTTAAATACTTGCAATTGGGGTTATATGGTAAAAGATACTATCATTGCCATAGGCAGACTGAAACTTGAAAAGATAACGTAGATTTTAGAGGCTTGGTTTTACATTATTTTAAATTATTAATATTCCTTTATAATGTATTATTTTTTAAAGTTTGCAAAAACGTTCTTAATATGTATTAATATAAAAAGTACCTAAATTTAGGTAGAGTTTAACTGTATTAGTTAAAATATCAAAACCATCTCATTTCCATGTACAAAATCATTTCTTTCTTTTTCATTTATTTATTATTATGCATTTCCTATCACCGCTTTTTATATTTCCTATAAATTGTTAAAAAAGAATGCTAAAACATTGGCTTTGGTATCAACAACCTGGCTTTTGCAGTTAATGGTCAAAGGCCAAAATGGGAAAAGCTTAAACCAAAAGCTTGACCAGTACTGCAAAGAAATAAAAAATAAATAAAAACTCCTCCCAAATGCGCAAAATGTTATTGTATCTACTGATGTTTTCGCTATTGTTGTTGCCGCTGCAATTGTTGTTGCTTTTTGTGTATGTGTGTGTTTTTACGTTTTTCTTGTTGCGACAGGCAAACAGCGGCGTCATCGTCAGCGACGCTGAAAATTGTTTAAATTCCATTCACATTCCAGCATGCAATTCGTAGTGGATTATGTGAGTGTGTTGTTGTTGCTGCTGTTGTTGTTGTTTTTGTTTTTGTTGTTCCTCTTGTAGTTGCTGCTCCCTCTGCCAGCGTCGGCGTCGATGTCGGGCAGCATGGAACAGGTGAGGCTCCGTTGGCGTTGATCGTGTGCATTCCAAAACACACACAGTCAAACATTTTTATACGAAAACTCTGAGAGCAGGGCAATAAATACAATGTTGCTGCTGTCGTTGTTGTTGTTGCTGCTGTTAAAAGTAAATGAACGATAAAACAAGAAAGGAAGGTTAAAGCAGCGAATGCAGGCGAATATCCGTGATACCCTTCAATGGTTAATGATAATACAGTGAAGACTTTATGCTAGGAATGTGTGCTAATTTTATGAATTTACTATCTGAAGGTTACCTTTTACAAATAAATACCTAAAATGAATCCATAATTTCGTTATTTCCTTATTAATAAATATTTTACAAATATTTCAAAAATATTAAATTATATATTCTGCATTCACAGTGTTTGCCAAGTCTATATGAATTTCAAGTTGACAAATTATTTAAAACCACAAAGGCTTTATGACAAAGAAATAATTTGCGAAAAACAGCTGTCATAATTGTCAGTAGGTATTGCTTTTAATGACTTTTTAATATGGTTCAAGCGAGATAATTACACTTTAATTAGCTTGAGTATATTTTAATTGTAAAAACCATATTTTTGTTCAAGTATTGTAAAAGAAACGGTTGATATTGTTGAAAAAGAGTCTGTGAAGGCATTTTTACGATACCACCCCCTTTTACATCACCTTCTTGCGCGCCGCCACTGCTTCTGCTGCTGCTGCTGCAATGCAAGTCGAGCGACTTGAACGACGAAAATGCAATTTAGCTCGTTTTTCTTGCTTGCTTCGATTCTCCACCCCCCCCTTTTTGAAAACACGCCTGTGTGTGTGCCAGTATCTGTATCTGTGTGTGAGTGCATGAGAAAAAAGGGAAAACGAAACGAAAACACAAGAGAGCAGCGCGTAGAGTGGAGCAAACGCAAAGGCAAAAGCAAAAACAACAACAGAGGCAGCAGCCGCCCGCCCCCTTTTTCCACCTCCTTTAGGAGCCTCCCTCTCTGCGCTGCGAAATAAGTTGCCGAGGAATGCGCATTTTTGCAATAATAATCAGCAACTAATACTATTTTTATCTTCTGCCCTGACGCGTCGCACACTTTTGTGCCTGTCTTAGTGTATGTGTGTGTGTGTGGTGTGTGTGTGCTAGCAATGTGTGCTTGAGTGTTTGCCCCCTGCAGCGTGTTTCAGCTCACTCACTTGCTCTCCTGCTCCCTCCTTTGCCTGCCATCTATCCGCCCCTTTTTGATCCCCCACCTATTCGTGCGATCTGCTCTTCTGTCGATGATCGCTCTCTTTTTCGAACTCTTGGTTTTTCAATCTACTGTTCTCTGTAGAAGAAATATTGAATGTTATCGAAAGGGAAAATGCATTAGAATATGCATTGGGAAATATATCTGAATTAATCGATATTTAATCTTTTGAAATAAACAAAATTAAAAAGGAGAAAGAAAAAGAAACTAGATTGGTTACATTACATAAACAAATTAGAAGTGCTACTTTCTTTATAACCACTAATACAGTTTACGTTTTTGCAAATAGCAACTATTTCACTTTTAATGCCAAGTAAAACTTCAACCAACAAAGTGTAATAATTCTCAGGTAAATAAAGACATCTTGAAGGCGTCAAAATCAACACAATCTCGCTAGAATAAATAGTTGATGTAAGTTGGCAAATGTGATTAGAAGTAATTAACCTGATTACCCTTTCCGGGTGGGATTTCTCTCAGCGACTGAGTTATTTTTATGGAATTTTGTGTCCCAGGAATTCTACAATCGTTATTTTGAGCCCATGTTCAATGCGTAGTATAATTGCCAATAAAAATGTCTCAATTAATGCTAAATACGAATTTCTGCCTAAGCGCTGGCGAAAAAATAGGAAATAAAAACCATTTAGATGGCTTTAGATATGAAGCGGAGCGGCTCAGTCTCTTTTATGTGGTGTGTGGACGCAATTAAACAATTAAAAATTCCAATAACGTCGCCGCTTAATAACGCATCAAAATCAAAATATTCCAGGCGGTGAGTGTGCGAGTGTGTGTGTGTGGGAGGAAAACAAACAAAAAAAGATATATAGAGATATAGACCCTGCAAGTGAATTAGTTGTTTGCACTGTTAATTAGTTATTGGATATGCACACACACTCGGGGCCATATTTGCGCAAAAATACTTTTCGGTATGCGTGGAATGCGAAAATTTCCCAAGTTGGCACCAAAAACAAATTATTGTGGGAGGCTATATCCCCCACATATATCCACCAGGGCCAATCTCTCTGTTGACATTCGGATTTGGCGCGTGGGGCTGAGATGTTTACCCGCCAAGATCTTACTATATACGATCTTGTTATCATCCATGTCGTGTACACAAAAACCCATGGCAAAAAAAAAAATTCACATTCCTTTGCAAGAAAAAAAGAATAGAATTAAAGTAAAGAAAACAACGTTTTGTCAACAAAATAATTAAAACTCATATTTTGCCTGGTGCTGTTGCTGTTGCTGCTGCCCCTTTTTTATGTTAGAGAGAATTTACAGGGCAATCAAAACGCTATTTGCAGATCGAGGCACAGAGTCATGTTGAATGTTGACAGATGTCTATGGTTCATTATCTTTATCGTTATGGGAGAAGCGAGGAATTTCAACTATTTTGTGTTTAAACTTTATAAGCAAATATTGCGATGTATGTTATAAATCAATTTAATCGAAATCTAGAATATATTCAAGCCCCAAATTGATTTATAGTTAAAGAAACAAAATTTCCTAAGAACTATTGAAGTCTAAAGCCTGAATATAATCCCCTTAACTTAACTGTATTTCCTCATAATTTAAAAGGAATTAAAACCATACCTGGTAGATAAATAAACAAATAAAAAATCACTTGGTTTGTATTACTATCTCAAGTAGCTGCCATGTGAACAATTGGTTTTTGTTATGAATCACCACTGAAGAAGGCTTCTATCAATTTATTTTGCGTATTAACTTAGAGAACATCAATCAATAAATTGATTTAAAATTGTTATTAAAAGTAAATAAATCTAAAATCAAATAAGATTTATCATAATAATTAGAAACATTAAATAAATGCATTTTTCTTTCAAGATAAATTCTAGAAACTTACCCCTCTATATTAATATATATCGATTTTTGTATAGGGTATTAAAAACTTCGTTTCTTTAAGACCCGCTTTACTTCAGTTGCGTTTCCTTCCTCATTTGCACTTGGCACAAATTCGGCGAAATTTTGTATTTGTTTACATATCTATCTACCGATGGCTATTTCGTAGTCAGGTGCGCACGCCACCCCTTTATATATAGATACATACGTATATATGTATATTTACCGATCCCCTCTCTATAGTGTGAATTTAATAGTTCGTCATAAAAATGGGTTTGTGTTTGGTTCAGGGAGAATTTTTTTTTTTACATTTCCCAAGAATTCAAACATGACATAATGTGCGGGAACACGGCGCATAATTTATGGTCTCCCCCATATATAATCCCTTGATCAGTTGCAACTTTGGACCCAAAAAGTCACTGGCAAAGGCAAGCCTTTCCAGGTGAACTTCCTCTGCAAGTTCACTTGGTAATTACGGACAATGAGTGTGGATTTTCCGGCAACTCTTAAGCCCCCTGTCTTTTTAGTGACTCACGTTGCCGGCATGTAAATGAGCCGACAGACCATCAACAGGGCGAGATAGTGCTGAATTTTTGGCCTTTTTGACCAGACAAATAGCTGTGTTTTTTTTTTAGGGGGGTCACTAGAGGTTTGACTTGACTTTAGAAACTTAAGGAATATGAGTTTCCTCAGGTATTTAAAGGTATATAAGGGGATTAAGAAATGGATTAAATAAATTCTATTGCTAATTTGTTAATTTCTCTTATTTAAGTACATAATCTTCAAAAACATTGAAAGTTTTTAAACCAATCTTTAGTTTTTAAACAATTTTAAATTAAATGTAATTCTCACCACTGATACTCTGTATTTTCATTATGAATTTTGACCCACACAGCCCTGAGTATCCGAGTGATTCAAAAATTTAATGGGCATTTTTCTGCGGGTGACTGATGAGTTTCGGGTCTCTTTTTTTTCGAGGCGATTGTGAATCGGAATTGAACCTTGTTTTCGCATAGCGTGTGACAATTTTCGTTTGATCAATTTTCTCATCCGTATTTTGTTCTCTATTTTGTCTATTTTCAGCTCCAAGTTGGCCGCCATCAATTCGTGTGTAGGATCAATTAAAATTCCGTGAGGCCAGGCCAGGCCGGCCGAGAATCAAATCAAATTAAAAATCAACTAATATTTTGATATTCAGATATTCAAATGAAATTCATTCATCGCCTGGGACTTTGTGCGGATCTGGGCAACTATTTTCGAATTTGAATTGTGTCTGCGGTCCGAGCAGAATCTGTGATAAAGCAGAAATACAAAAAAGTAACAAATACAAAAATACAAATAAAATGTGAAGAGAAATATTTACATGCGAAATGAATGTTGGGCGAGAGAAGTTTTTTGTTATAAATGCAAATGCGAAATGGAAGAATTCTCCTTCATCCGCGCGAGTGATAAATAATCCGACGACAAACAAAAGCAAAAGCCCAGGCCAGGCCCACACCGCGAGAAACGGGGGGTGACAGCAGTGAGCAGCAGTGAGCAGTAAGCAGTGAGGAGCAGCGAGCAGCAGTGTCGGGAGCAGTGCAAACACATTTATCTTTATTGAGAGCAACAATATCAAGATCGAGATAATAAAGCATCGTAAACCTTCGCATACCCGAGACTAAGTAGTTCATTATAAAGTCCAAGTCTCCACAAATATTCACATAATTGAAATGCAAAAAAGTGCCTGTTGAGAAAGAAACGAGAAAAGGTGGAATAATTTTTTTATAAACCATCAAATTAAATAATAATAATACCTGGAATAACGCGAAAAATACAAATTTATTTAAATTCCAATCCCTGGAAGCCGATGTGCCCCAGTGTCGTGTGTGTGTGCTGTGCTGTGTGTGTGCGAGGGTTTATCGAGCATTTTGTGATATGAGTGCTAAATATCAAAAGAAGCAGCAGCAGCAGAATGCATCCAGCGGGCGAAAAAAGGGGCGGTCGCCCCAATGATAAATACACGGCGGAAGCCCTCGAGAGCATCAAGCAGGACCTAACGCGATTTGAACTACAAAATAACCATAGGAATAATCAGGTGAGCATAAAAATTATATAAAATTTAATTTAGAACTATTTTAAGATTTAGAATCAAAATAAGTTGGATATGTTTAAAGGAATTGAAGTTAGAACCAATAAAATGATATTTACTTACCTAAAATCTATGCAAAAATTCAAACAATTGAAAATTAAGGGAAATCAATTAAGGGTTTTTATATTATCTGAAGAAATAACAAACAATTATGTTGTATCTTTTCATATTGAAATATTATTATGGCTTATCTTATCTTATCTTCTTATTTGACACCATAGAAAAATAAACATAATTTTTCTATAAGAAAACAACACAGAATTTTCTCCCCATTATTTACAAATTGAGGAATTTTCATCGCTGACTCACACTACGAGATACTTAACTTAAGCCACAAAACAGGCTTAAAGAATTTCAGAAACCGTTTAGCCTGGCACTCAACTCATCATAGTTAAGCTCGGTTTAGCCCCGGCTCATTCCATCTCTCAGGTCGTCTTAGCTCTCCAGTGGAAGTTATGCCATTAAAAATGCTTATCACAGCGTTTTATAGTCGCTCGACAAATGATGCGACAACAACCAGAAAAAAAAAAATACAAAAAAACCAAGAAGACACGACAACTAATAAAAAACTAACAAACAGATAAAATGCAAGCCACAAAAGCGTTAACAACAAAGACTCTAAGAAGCGTGGGTGACTTTTTTTGGATAAAACTAAGAAAGTGAGATTGAATAGTATAGGTTTATGAGCTTATTTTTATGTTTTACTAAAGTTATGAGAAAATTTATAGATTTAAAATATAGTTTTGGTAAAAATAAGTATATATTTCTATGGAATATTACAAACTTATTTTAATAACCAATTGATATTCCATTTATAAAAGATATTTTAATTTAGAAACTGGCACGAGCCACAGAGTTTTTCATCTGTTTGCGAGAGTTCGGGCAAGGTCAGGCTGTGGGCGGTCTAGTAGATCGGTGGGCGGATCAGCTGTGGTCAGTTGTGGCAACAGGAGTTGGCTATTAGCTTGGCCAGCAGCAAAAAAATAAATCCAAAAAGAGAGAGGAAAATCAGCAACACACGAGCTATATTTAAACGCACAGAGAGACGTACATACGTCGAGGATGAGGGGAGTGAAATTAATGAACTGGCAAACGAAATGCAATTGACCTTCTGCCTTCTGAGTGGGTGGGAGCCAACTGGCTGCCAGACAAAGTGTCCAGCAAAAGAAAGAGAGAGACAGTGAACACTCGATATATAAATAAATTTAATTAAAACAAAATAATAACAAGAGACTTGTTTTGATGAACAATTATTTGGGAAGGCTACAAACCTTCTTGATCAATATTATGAGTTTAATGATTGTTTTAAAATTTATTTGATTTATTTAATTGGTAAATCTTGTATTAAAATTGTAAGTTAAATATCTTGAGCCTTCACTGTATTCTACATTGTATGCGTACACGCGATTGCCCTGGATTTTTCGCATTGACGTCACACACTCAGTGAACTCAACAGATCAGAATCGGAATTATATATAGCCGGGGCAAAGAGATGAGTGGGATACCATTGATTTCCATGAAAACCGACAATTACCCCAAAAGAGAGAGGTGCCTTTAAGGAGGGGAGGAGGAGATGACTAATGGTCAAGTTGGTCTTGCTCGATCAGTTAAAGATTTCAGCACCATCTCTGCAATTAGCCAAACAACTTGCAATAATCATTTATTAACTGGTTGCTCTTTCTCTTCCACCCCCCAAAAACAAAAACCAAAAGCAACTCCCCTTTTTTTTTTCCCCTTCTTTTCTTTGGAAAGGGAGTTTTAGTTATATGCAAGTTGGTATTGAAAAGCAGTAAAGATTTGAATCGTCTTTAGTCTATAATCTTTAAAATTTTAAAAAATAAATTCTTAATCAAATGATGATTGATTAAATAAAATAAGATCCATTAAAATGTTAATAACTTGTATTTATTTCCAATTCTTTATAAGAAACTTCTGGAATATAACATTTCTCCAATCGCAGGATTGTTAAGTCTTAAACTGTGTTCAATTTCGGGTCCAAGCTTCTGCTACACACTAACAGTATACTAACTGTATGCACAGTAAAATAATAATATAATAATAAACTAGACATCTTAGCCATTTTTATTTAATCCACTACTGACTTAAGCTATGACACAGTTAAGCGACTTCTTCAGTTATTCATATTGTCTTTAAAACTATATATATACGCAATAATTTACCACATCCTGTGACTCCTAAAGCTGGCTACCATGTCCGATGACTAACCCATTCCGATGACTGCTCTTCTGTCAGCATTTTTAAGATACTATTAGAGATTTCAATCGCCTTCAGATGCCTAAAGTTCTGGAACGGGCTTTAAAAAAATGCCAAGAAGCTGCAGAAAGGAGCTTTCAAAGCGGAGTACGGGGAGAAGGAGGACATAAAAATTCTTAAATATTATCTGACGGGTCATCAATTTAAAATTTTACGATCTCCACTTGCCAGCTACTGTTTGCTGCGACTGTAAATTATGTATGTATGTATGTTGGGGCTCCGGGATTCGGGCTCTTGAATCCTCGGATCACCAACAGAAATTCCAGGGGCTCGACGAGGTGGAGATTTCTCTTAATCCAAGCGATGGGCGTGCTCAGGTTTTTTGGCCATAAAAAAAATATATGCTTGAAGGCGACAGAGACTCGGACTCGGGGAGTTGGCTAATTGTTATGACTTGGCCAGTTTGGACAGGCCAATTTAATGCTGCAATTGCTGCTGCCATTGGCATTGGTTCAGCGGCTCTTGACTGCGATTTTCAGTGGTCGGTGGTGGTGGCTTTAGCTTTTGGCTGTGGCTTTGGTTTTGGCCAACTTTCGCCCGGCTTTCGGCCTACGCCTGCGCCGCCGGCTGAAGCACAATGGCCCGGCTAATTGGTCATGCTGAGCGCTAAATACCAGAAACCCATAATCTGCTCATATATGGCTCATATGTTTGGACTAAGGCCGCGTCCATGGTGCGGGGAGTCTCCTCCCTCTTTCCATATGTGGGCAGTGCATGGCAGAGCGATAAACGATAGACGATAAATAAATACGGAATTTATGCACGGGCCCGATCAACACTTTCAGCGGACATGTTCACGCCCACGCAAACGTTTTTGAGTCGCTTAAATACCCTGTAAATAAATATAAGGTATGCCCAAGCTATGTCGGATTATTAAACAAAATTAAATGTATTTTTAATTTTTCATTCATTCTTTAAACAAGAATATGTAGTATATTCATGATATAATTTGCCATAATTGTATTAAATATTTACTTAAATATTTCCAGACTGTGGCATCTAGATAAGACTTATAGGCAGTGATTCTTCTTCATCTTAATATAATAAATTCTATTTAAAGAGCATTAAATAGTCTATACCATTCAATAAACCCTTTTTTTTGGCGGCATTTTAGCCTGGTTAGCTACCAAGCATAAGCATGTCTTCAAGATTTCTGCTATAAATATCCATATCGATAATGGCCAATGTCGAAACTCGGGTTGCGGTATAAGTATGTAGAGAAATTAATTAAAATAACAAACGTTGATAATAAATAAAAATCTCAACGCAAAAAAGGCAGCGAATAAATAAGACGACGACGACGGCGACGCCAACGCAGCCAAACAGTGAGCCAAATGCCATTACAATAAAAAATTAAAATAATCCATAAATAAATTAGTAAACAAAACGAGGCAATGGAGATGGATGGTTGATGATCGCTGGGCGACGGGGGAAGTCCGAACTTTGACAATACCGATTCAGGGTCTGGCCTGATCCCATCCATATAATCTGTGACTTATTTGGTGCGGTTATGGCCGAGTACACATGTAATCCCATTTTTAGATTTGGTGCGAATTTAGATATATTTTTACAAAGAGTGTGGACACAGTGAGTGCTAAAAATGTTAGGTCATGTGGTACAAAAACTATTAGAAATTGAATGTTGAGTTTACAATTTTTGTTAGATATATTAATTTTAAATACTTTCTATGCACATTGCTCAAAATTTACTATGATGTGCCGCTGAAACTCAACTTGGGAATTTTAAATGCACTTGACTTAACCATTTTTACGCTTAATATTAAAAGTCCATAGTGGTTGATTACTTTCATTTGTACTTGGGCTTGATTTCTATATTCCATTTTAAAATCCCCAAAGAGAAACTTTTTTCTGATCCCATACCTTTCGATATCACTGTTCCGCTGTCTATAGTCATTTTATGGGGAGACACATTTCATTTCAAGCGAAATGGAATTCCTTGGGGTGCAATTTTCAACTAATTTGCGCTATATTCGTGCGAAAAATTTGTTGAACCTGTCGGTGGTGGGTCGCTTTCGCTCGATTTTCTTCGTTCTCAGGCAGTGCTTTTAGATATTTTTCTTAGGAATTTTCACCTAAATATATGTGTGTGTACATATCATCATATAGCCAGCCATTCTACATACTTACATACATATATCAGCAGTAGCAATCGCCGAAAAAAGAATGTTTTGTGTATGGCGAGTGTGTGTTGGCTCTAATAATAACAAAATAGCCCCACAAATATAGAACAAACACAAACAAAAGTCGGCGCGCGGCAGAATGTTTGGCGATAGCTTCTGTATATATAGTTTCTATGGTCCGATCGGTAGGAGGTATATTCTCTCAGTACCCGGTGTTACCTACCCCCCAGCAACACCCGATGGAAATTGCAGTGAAATATCGAATGGGGGAAATTGTTTGGTTTTTATTATACAAAAGACAGTTTTTCAAAATATGTGATCTTCATTCTTATAAATGGATCTTTAATGCTTGTTTGTTGGGGTTTCCTGAGTATCTTTTTAAATAAGATAATCTTTATTCATAACAGATGCTATTAAAACTAATATAATCCCCTCTAGCGAATATCTACTGTACCCACATTTTTACAAAAATATCTGACCGTTGCCAAGAATTCTCAGTTTTGATGTATTTCGTTGGCGTTTGCCCCATTGCAAATTTTCTGAAATGCCAAAAGAATTTTCTTGCTGCCCCGTTACAGCATTCTTCTCTGTTTGATGAGGCAACTAATATACCACAGGTGAGACTAATGTCAGGTTGAAGATAGCATCCGATGGATCTGTTGGATGGCGATTCGTTTTTCTGTGTTTGTAATCTAAAAATTCATTTGACCTTGCCTGCGACTTAATCGCTTTACAAGTTGCAGCGACCGCAAAGCAAATAGGCTTAAGTGGATTAACGAAAGTGTTTCGGCAATTCTTCTCTGCGTATCCCCTCTCACCTAAAAAGTCGCCTCGGTAAATCCAATTTATTTTATTTGAGAATTTAGCAATGCCAATTTGCGTGGGTGACACTTTTTTCGCGGTCTTGTTGCACTTGCTGATTTAGTGCGCCCATTGGCTTTTGCTAATTTGCCGTAAATTGGCTTTCATGTAAGACGGAGGACCCCAGAAGAATCCGGGGAAATTGCGGGGCTATTGGGGTCTTCAAAAAGCGACGAGACGCACAGTCTGCTGGGGGTCTTTGTCGGGTTTCGCTTGGTTCGCGTCCTTGAATTTAATTTGATGCCCATTAAAATCCCGAGACGCTGGTTTCGGTAGGCTGAGTTATAATACTTCTATATACAATCACTTATAAAACCATTATATACCTACATAAGTCATTATAATGTCATATATTTAAAAACTTTTTGTAATTAAAAATATTTCTTGGAATCTCAATAGGAATAATATTAAATAAAATAAATAAATAAATAGATTTTAACGACAAAATTAAAATACTAAAATTGATTCGTTTTGTATATAATTATAATTATGTATCTTTACTATCGTTCTCACCGCTCGCCTTGAAAAACCCCATCACGTTACCATCTCTAATTGAGGTTCCCATCAAGTTGCCATCTCTAACTGACGACGCGAATGAAGATAGAAAGAGAGGAAGAGAGTGGGGAATGGGGCAAGCAAAGTCATAAAATCGAGGATCAGTCACAAAAGGGCAAAGACAGATTGGAAGGAGAGAGGCATCAAAAGAACGCGTAAAACGGGTAGCAGCAGAGAATAAAATGAGGAGCAGAACAAGAACAAGGCGACACAAACACACAAGCAAACAGAGTGGGAGAGAGGGAGAGTGAAAGAGCGAGCGAGACGGAAGCAAGGGCAACCTTCGCTGCAAGTGTATTTGTTTGTGTGGGTTATGTGTGTGTGTTTGGCGCATCTGGCAGCCGGCTCCTCTTCTTCTTCCTTTCCTCACCTTCTTCATTTCCTTCTCTGGTCTCCTATGTGATCATGCTTCCTTCTCCTTTTCTCCTTTGCTCCTGCTCGTCCCTTCTTGCTCGCACTCATTGCTTACGCTTGACTTTTAGGAATTTCACGACGATGGCAAGAATTTTATTTCGTTGCTTTGGCCACCGCATTTCTTCGGCCTTTTGTTTTAGCCTCTGGTTCGCCTTGTTTTTCTTTGTTTTTGTGTGCTCGTCTTTTGTTTAGTTTTTGATTCAAACACACACACACACACATAAACACAGATGCAGCGCGGTGCAGGAATGTTGACCACAAATGGGCGTAGCTCAGAGGGGGTTTAGCATATACTTAGGGGGTTTGTGGAGTTTATAAAAATTAAAACAAACCCGATAATATGATTTCAATTAGATTTAACTAAAATATGAATCTGAAATATAAATACTCCTTTCTAAAATCTTTTTTTCTTATTTCCTTGCAGAATTACACAGCTCTGCGATACACGGCGACAAATGGACGCAACGATGCACTTACTCCGGACTACCAGCATGCCAGGCCACCGATGGAGCCGCCGCCCTCGGCGTCGCCCTCACCGGACGTATCCAGTCCGCCGCCACCCGCCATTGTAGGTCAGCCAGGAGTTGGAGTCGGAGTGGGAGTGGGTGTAGGAGTGGGCGTGGCGCTGCAGGCGAATGGACATGTGCCAAAGATGATGACCGCCTTGATGCCGAACAAGCTGATCCGGAAACCGAGCATCGAACGCGATACGGCGAGCAATCACTACCTGCGCTGCAGCCCGGCGCTGGACTCCGGGGCGGGCAGCTCACGCTCCGATAGTCCACACTCGCACTCGCACAGCCATGCCCACAATACCCACACCCTCTCCCACCATGTCCATCAGCCTAGCTCACGACCGGGCGGAAATGGCGTCAATCCTGGCTTCTCTCCGTCGCCCAGTGGCTTCAGCGAGGTGGCACCACCGGCGCCGCCACCACGCAATCCCACCTCTGTCACCAGTGCGGCCACGCCACCACCCCCGGCCGTAGTCGTCGGGAGTCAGGCGTATGTAAAGCGGCGTTCTCCAGCCCTGAATCGGCCGCCGGCGATAGCACCGATAGCTCCGAGTAGCGCCTCGCAGCGCGGCACCTCGCCGGTGATCACCCAGAACGGTATCAAGACCCAGCAGCAGCAACAACAGCAGTTGTCGCAGCAGCAGCAACTAACGCAGCAGATGAAGGCACTGACCATGTATCCGGGCGGGAACAGTGGGGCTGTGGTGGAGCCACCGCCACCATATCTTATCCAGACGGGTCAGGGAGTAGTAGGAGCACCGCCACCGCCGCCGCCCAGTTACACGGCGTCCATGCAATCCCGTCAGTCGCCGACGCAATCGCAGCAATCGGACTACAGGAAATCCCCGAGCAGCGGTATCTACTCGGCCACGTCGGCGGGATCGCCCAGTCCCATTACTGTATCCCTGCCGCCGGCACCGCTGGCGAAGCCCCAGCCCAGGGTATACCAAGCGCGGACACAGCAGCCGATCATCATGCAGAGCGTGAAGAGCACCCAGGTGCAGAAGCCAGTGCTTCAAACGGCGGTGGCTCCTCAGTCGCCGTCAAGTGCGTCGGCGAGCAACTCGCCGGTCCATGTACTGGCGGCTCCCCCCTCATATCCCCAGAAGTCAGCGGCAGTGGTGCAGCAGCAGCAGCAAGCGGCAGCAGCGGCACAGCAGCAGCAGCACCACCACCAGCAGCATCAGCACCAGCAGTCCAAGCCACCGACGCCAACCACGCCGCCTCTGCTTAGCGGAGGAGGAGTGGTCAAGCCTACCTGCATAGAGCCGCCTTCGTATGCCAAGAGCATGCAGGCCAAGGCAGCCACCGTGCAGCAAGTACAGCAGCAGGTGCAGCACCAGCAGCAGCAACATCAGCAGCAACCGCCGCAATTCCAGGCCTTGAGGGCCCTCCAGGCTCAACGGGAACGGGATCAGCGAGAGCGGGAACAGCAGATGCAGCAGCAGCAGCAACAACAACAGCAGCAGCAGAAGCTTACCAATGGCAATCCCAGTCCTAATCCCCGACAGCTTCCGCCACCGCCGCCATATCAGAGCAACAACAATAATCCAGAGAGCAAACCACCTCCGCCGCCGAGCAACTGCAACAACAATAACATTCAGATCAGCAACAGCAATCTGACGACGACGCCACCAATACCACCAGCGAAATACAATTCCGGAACGGGAGCCAACAGCTCTGGTGGCAGCAATGGATCCGCTAGCACCACCGCCTCGTCGTCTGCCTGCAAGAAGATCAAGCACGCCTCGCCTATTCCGGAGCGCAAGAAGATATCCAAGGAGAAGGAGGAGGAGCGCAAGGAGATTCGCATTCGACAGTACTCGCCTCAGGCCTTCAAGTTCTTTATGGAGCAGCACATCGAAAACGTGATCAAGTCGTATCGCCAGCGAACCTATCGCAAGAACCAACTGGAGAAGGAGATGATCAAGGTAGGACTTCCGGATGAAACGCAGATTGAGATGCGGAAGATGCTGAACCAAAAGGAGAGCAACTACATTCGGCTGAAGCGTGCCAAGATGGACAAGAGCATGTTCGTCAAGCTAAAACCGATTGGTGTGGGCGCCTTTGGCGAGGTGACCCTTGTCCGGAAGATCGACACCTCGCATCACCTGTACGCGATGAAAACCCTGCGCAAGGCCGATGTCCTCAAGCGGAACCAGGTGGCCCATGTCAAGGCCGAAAGGGATATTCTCGCCGAGGCCGATAACAATTGGGTGGTGAAGTTGTACTATAGCTTCCAGGACAAGGATAATCTGTACTTTGTGATGGACTATATACCGGGTAAGTGGTTAATATATTTATTTTTTTTTTTTGTATATGTATATTAATAATTTATGTTTTCAGGTGGCGATCTTATGTCGCTGCTCATCAAGCTGGGCATCTTTGAGGAGGAACTGGCCAGATTCTACATAGCCGAGGTCACCTCCGCCGTTGACAGCGTCCACAAAATGGGCTTCATTCACAGGTAGGAAGGTGTATTGATAAGAAAAGTCGATATCATGTCATGTGTCATCGAAACTATTTGAATTAAATGTTATTTTTTGTTATCGGTAACGTATAAACGTTAAAATATTGATTTGTTTATCGACTTTCGCATTAAATATCGATACAGTATCGATTTTTTTTTATCGAAACTATTTAAATTAATGATATTTCTTATTATTTGTCCGCGCAGAGACATCAAGCCTGACAACATACTCATCGACAGAGACGGACACATCAAACTCACCGATTTCGGCCTGTGTACGGGCTTCCGATGGACGCACAACTCCAAGTACTATCAGGAGAATGGTAATAACTATAAATTAATTAATTAATAATAATGAAACCCTATTTAATTCTTACGTTACGTTTTGCAGGCAATCACTCACGCCAGGATTCGATGGAACCTTGGGAGGAATACTCGGAGAATGGACCCAAGCCCACGGTGCTGGAAAGGCGAGTTTTGTATATTTAATTAATTTTCAAAGTATCGTTCATAATTAATAAAAGTATGCTGAACTCGCAGGCGGCGAATGCGCGATCACCAAAGAGTCCTGGCCCACTCGCTGGTGGGCACTCCCAACTACATAGCGCCCGAGGTGCTGGAGCGGAGTGGATATACGCAATTGTGCGATTACTGGAGCGTTGGCGTCATCCTCTACGAGATGCTGGTGGGACAGCCGCCCTTCCTGGCCAACAGTCCGCTGGAAACGCAACAAAAGGTTGAATATTGATGATTAAAGCCATTAATTAGAAGTTTATATTAACTGTTATCCTTGCAGGTCATCAACTGGGAAAAGACGCTGCACATTCCCCCGCAGGCTGAGCTATCCCGCGAGGCCACCGATCTTATTCGGCGACTTTGCGCCTCGGCGGACAAGCGGCTGGGGAAGAGCGTGGATGAGGTGAAGAGCCACGACTTCTTCAAGGGCATCGACTTTGCCGATATGCGTAAGCAGAAGGCGCCGTATATACCCGAGATTAAGCATCCAACGGACACATCCAATTTCGATCCCGTGGATCCGGAAAAGTTGCGCTCCAACGATTCCAACATGAGCAGCGGCGACGATATCGATCTGAATGATCGCCAGTTCCATGGATTTTTCGAATTTACCTTTAGGCGATTTTTCGATGACAAACAGCATCCGGATATGACGGACGATCAGGCGCCGGTCTACGTCTGAGTGTGTGCTGAGAAGAGATCATTGTTAGTCAAATAGTCACAAAAGAAGAGAACGGGTGACTAAAGTATGAAAACTATATATATTATATATAAACTATAGGAGAAAGTAGCTAGCGAAGGAGCAAGAAGAACTACACATAATATGTTATAAATATATATGCTTGAGTGCATGAACTGAATAAATTTAAAAATGAAACGGAATATATCGAGAAGCAGGACCTTGGACTTTTAACAGAATGTATACAAAAACCTATACTATATATCCTTCAACAAAACTATATAAATATTTAAATTGTTAGTGAAACGAGGGGACCAACTTGGAAAATCCAATATTTTCAGGTGCTCAAAAAGCTAAACAAACATAAAAACAATGCCTTAAAAACGAGATGAGAACGCGAATTTAAACAAGCCCCCTACTCTCCACTCCTTTCCAGTCTTTCGCTCTCCAGTCTCCACTCTCCAGTCTCCATTTGTTGGCGCCTGGACCTTAATACAGCAGGCTGGTTAGGTCCAGTCTCCACTTGGCATTGGGAAGTGTGCGTGTGTGCGATGGAGAAGCGGAGGAATGGAGGCCAAAAACAAAAGTCGCACGGCAGCGCGATATAAGCGGGTCTTATAAGCCTAACTAAAATCTAAATTTAGGAGAAAAGAACACCACTCTATCTCTATCAATCCATCATCTAACACTGCTCTTGGAATAAAAAAAACTTCTAACGCGTTTCCTCCCCCCCAAAAAAAAGAAAAGAACAAACTTAGATATACAATGTTAGACCAACAATTTGTTGAATGCCAAATCAAAAAAAATAAAATATATTGTAATGAAAAATTCAACACAAAAACAAGAAAATGCTAAGGAAATTGTAATTATTTTTTAATGTAATATTGTAAAGCAAATCAAGTTAATTTGTAATTTATGCCTAAAGTTGAGTTTAGAGCCCTAAGATGTTTTTTAGTTTATAGTGACCGCCTCTAACCGTAATCTAGTTTAATTCCCTTTTAAATATTTAAGCGAGTACATGGAATTTTTTTGTTTGTCGAAAAAAAAAACCGAAAACGGAAACTGGATTTGTTTTTTCTATTTAATTAGCCTCAGTTTGTGTATGTGCGTGTGTTTTTTTATTATGAATATATATATAAATCTATAAAAGTATATTTTTTAAAAGTGAGAAGAGTGTAAATCGAAGCTAATTGATGGGAAATGCAAATGCAAACTCTGTGTGTGCCTTGGCCAATTAGTTTACTAAAAAAAAAACAAATTAATAAAATGGAAAAGAATATTTAAACAAAAAAAAAGGCATTTGTTTTATTGCATTTTATTAATTTATTAAGATAAGGTTAAAAGAAGTGCACTTAAAACTGTTATAAACTGTTATAAAATTATTTGTAATGTTCATGTTGATCGTTAAAAAATATTTTAATGTAATTATTAGAAGCAGACTTTACTGTCGCTATGCTAAATGCTCTTTTCTGAGTCCACTTCCAAACATTTAGCCAGACTCCAGGCAAGTCTATTGGGTTTATATCGTTTCTGATTGCTTTTACGAACATTTTGCGATAGTTTTATATATTATCGTTTTCCTTATCCTTGAAAAGCAACTTATCAAAGCACGATGGTCAATTTATCCCACCTTAAACCCACCCACAAATAACAAATCATTTGCATTTAAATTTTAATAATTTTTTTTTTTTGTTTATTATTTTCACGTTGTAAATTTAATAATTATAATAATTGTTTTTTGTTTTTTTTTTTTGTAAATTTATCAAGACAAAAATGTTATATTCATATATATATGAATGCGTGTTTTTATCCATTTGAATCATTTTGCTTACTTTTGATTAAAATACATTTATGCGTAATATTTGAAATATAAGTTACTTTTTGAATTGTTTGTTGTTCTCTTTCGTCTCTCAATATATTTTTTTATTGGTTACTTGTTTTAATTTATTTTTCAGATGTTGTTTTTGTAGCGGTTTTTGAGCAATAAAATGAACATTTGATGCCGTTTCAACGAGGTAACTTAATTGATAACTTAAAGGTGGCTAATCGCTATTGTTGAACATACGAAAATAAAACAAATAATACACAAGTACAAGTACTGATTTTCCTGCTCCGCTTATTTACACAAAGATTGAGGTTGGTGGTGGTGAAGATGAACAACTTTAACAGAAATATAGAGGCGGAAAGAACAGAGTGCGGAGTTTGGAACACAATTTTAAAAACGACGAAAGGCTCTCGTCCTTTGCCGACTAAGTGTAGGTGTTTGTATCATTAAATAACTAACAATTGTTTATGTTTATGTACGAGAGTGTGTGTGTGTAGTGTGTATTTCATATAAGGCCCTAGAGTGCAAATATCCATGCTGGTGGCAACATTCAACTCTTCTCCATCACAAAACCACATAGTATTTGCGCTTAAAAATAAGTGAGTTTTTTTTAATGTTAAAGTTTAACATTCTGTTGTTGTTAAGGATTTATTAACTAGGCTAAGTATTTACGGTAGTAATGGTAATTATTTTAAATTTATGCTAAACGTGTGTGCTGGCTGTTTATTTGAATTTCTGAAGTATCTCAACTCGAGTATAACAGGGCGCGTTTGTTTTCGATTTTTGTTTTTGGATTCTCTAGCTTTTGTTCTTGCGAAATAATTTACAAAAAAATATATGTATATTTACACATATTTATATATATATACTCTCCTCCTACATTCTCCTCTTCGTCAGTTAAAAATACAAATATATAAAAATTAATTAAGTATTAAATGCATTTTTTTTGTGAGTTTTTCGTTCTCCGTTTTCTGTTTTTGCGGTTTTTTGTGTCTGGAAAAGCAAGAAAATCATTGGGCATAAATTCCTTGGGACAAATTTAAACATCAAAAAAGAAATGTTCGTTGTTCTGGAAACCTTTTGTTGTTGATCTTGTTGTTCTCAATTTAAAGATATATAGATTGAAACGATTTTAAAGTGAAGTTGACTCTTTGGTTTTTTTTGGCTAGCGCTGGAATCGAAAGCATTACTTTTATCGTAAAATTTATTGTCATGGCAAACACTTTGATAGTTAATAGGGTTTTTTGGTTTTTCTTTTTCTTTTTTGATTTTTTTACATTTAATACGCACATGGAATTTTGCTAATTTATGTTTTTTTGCGAGACTTTTCCAAAGGTTTTTCTTTTGCTTGAGGTTTCTCAAACGTCTTCTTTCTACCTAATAACTAAGCACAGTTTTTGAATTAATTCATTAATTGTTAAATAATCTTTAGTAAGGCCAAATTAAGTTTTTGTGTGTTTCGTTTTTGTTTCGTTTATATATATATTAAATGTTAGTGTTAGCATTAGTTTTTAGTTTTAGCATTTAGATTTAGATTTAGTTGGGTTTTTGCGAATATTTTAGCTTTACAAACGTGTCTCTGTCTGTCGATTGGCGAGTAGCGAGTGGCGAGCGGCGAGCCGAAGGCCTAAATGCATATAAGTTTGCACCTGCTCTGGCCAAAATGGAATGATCTTGTAGGTGTTCGTGCTCCGGATTAAGGGTTAGGAGGTTACGAGGTTAAGGGGACTAAAGCGTAGTTTGAGAAAGTACTTTTTTTTTGACAAAGTTCCTTAAGTAAGAGAGAGAGAGAGAGAGCTTGAAACGCGGGCAAGCGGTGGGTTTTCCATATTAATGTTAAACTATATAAACAAAAAGGGGGCTTGGACTTTACAATGTTGTGTGTGTGTTTGGTGGTGACTTTAATACAGTTTTTTGCTGCATAATACTTTTGTATCTGTATCTCTGGTCTCGTCTCGGTATTGTCAGTTTCATTTCTTTTTTTATTTTTTAGCTTTCTTTTTGGTCCGGAGGTTTGTAGGTGTAACTAAAAGGTTAAAGAATATATAAAAACTTAAGCGTATATACCTTAATCGTACAAAATATTTATACATATTTATTCCATCAAGGATCTATGCTTTTTTGTTGAGTATTTTGCAGCACTTGGTACTGGGTTGCCAGCTTCTATAAACTAAAAACATTCATTTATAATATATAATGTAAAAAAATAGATAATTCTATATCTCTGACCGAAACTTAGGCGCTAAAATTAAAGGTAAAATGAATACTAAAAAAACAAAAGTGGTTGCAACATTTGTAAAAAATATAATAAAAATAATAAATTCGCTCATACGAAAGGTTGTTTTTGTGTTTTTTTCGCTGCTCCTCCTTTTTTTTTTTTTTTGTTGGTAGGTTAAATGGCTATAAAAAATATTTCTCTCTTCCGACTCGGTCTAAAGGTGCTCGCGTTGTGTTGTGTGTTCCTGCACGTTCTGAGATTTTTCTGGTTCCGTCTGTTATATTAAGTACAGCCTGTAAGTCGTGTACTGCACCTGGTTCCGAGTCCCCGCTAAGCGCGTTCTCCAACCCTTGTGGGAGGCGGAAACTTGCAGCTAGCGCGGACGCGAACCCGTTTCTAGCTTAATTTGGAAACATTTTGGCATTGAAGAAGTCAAAGGCGGGCGAGGACGTAGGCGTGCCCACAGCCGACTGCGACTGGTGCTGCTGCTGCTGCGGCGGGGGCGGTGGTGGTAGCAGTCCTGCATGATGGTGAAAGAACTGCGATGCCGTTGGCGGAGGCTGACCGAAGCCCGCTCCCGAAAGCAGCGGCGGCGGATGTGGAGCAGGCAGACGATGTGACTGCTGACTGGGCGGTGGTGGCAACATCACTCCGGCTCCGTTCCAGGCCAGACGATGATGCTGCTGCTGTTGCTGATAGGCGGCCATGGCAGCCAAGGGATGTGGGTGAGGATGGTGGGCATGCTGGTGCTGGTGCGGCGGATACGCTGGATTTATTGCCTGAACCCGACGACGTCCGCGATTGGACGTCGGCGCTGGCGGCGCTCCTCCCGGCGGCTGGGGAACTGCTCCTGGTTGGCAGGTTGGCGGCACTGAGGTGTCGCTTACCTATTCCCTGTAGGGCTTGCAGTAGGAGTAGCGGTGGTTCATGTGCTGGCTGTAGCTGCCCGAGTGCGAGAAGCGTTTCAGGCACTTGGAGCATTGGAAGGGCTTCTCGCCGCTATGCAGACGCTTGTGCTCCGTCAGGTGGTGCTTGTGCTTGAAGGCTTTGGGGCAGTCCATGCACTGATAGGGTCTTTGACCTGTTTTTTAAAAAGAAGATACATTTTGAATTAGTCAAGAATTAACAATGAAATATATGTAAATATTTAAAGTTTTATAAAAACAAAATAATTTACTAAATTAACAAAGAATTGCACTCACCGGAATGCTCGTACTTGTGGCGTGCCAATGAGCTCTGCTTGGCGAAGGCCTTGTCACATTGATCGCACACAAAGGGCAGATCGGGATCGCCGGCATGGCCATGGGTCTCCTGTTTGCCTCGCCTCGGCTTCGGCGGCAGCAGTCCACCGCTGAAGTCATCCTCATGGGAGATCCGCGAGTCATCATCGCGCCACGAACGCTTCTCTGATCCGCCGGGACTCAGACTTGTGCCGCGATAATCGGGCAGCTTAATACTGTTCATCAGGGGATGATTGGGGGCATATTCGCCACCGGGACGCATTTGGAACAGGGCCTCCATGGGGAGTCGGGGCATGGGCAGCATGTAGGGCAGTCCTGGGAAGGCCTGGCCGGCAGTCCGAGGAGTGGCCTCCAGTTGGCTGTTGGGCGGCGAAGGCGGCGGGCCAGCGCCAAAGTACAGGGCTGCCGCGGATGAGGGTGAAATCGAGGCTGGCGACATCGAGGCGGAGCTGGAGAACTTCCTGCTCAGATTGATGGCGGCCTCCGGATTCAGGGCCTCAGTACTCTGAGGCGGTATGTAGGGTGGCGAGCTCTCGCTTTTAGGCGTCAAAACATCTCGCTTGATGGACAGATCCAAGGGTTGATCCTCACGTGAAACCTGCGAAGTCTGCACTTCATTGTTGGCCACTGGTGTGGTTTGATTACTCTGGAAACTCTGCATCTTTCGCTCGCGAGATCGATTGTTCTGGAACCAGACTTGGACTACGCGCGGATCGAGCTGCAGGCGAGCGGCTATCATTCGGAACTCATCCCTGCTGGGTCGCGAGTTCAGGGAGTAGTGCTGCTTCAACTGCTGCTGCTGCTCCTCGTTGATGGCCGTTCGCACTCGCACCTTGCGCTCGCCGCTCTCCTGTCGCGGCTCCTCTTCCATCTCCTCGTCTTCATCATCTTCTTCGCTGGCGGAGGGCATCACAAAGGACGTGGTCTGGTGCTGTAGTTGTTGTTGCTGCTGCTGTTGTTGCTGATGGAAGTGCTGCTCCAGCTCCTCCTTGATCAGGCCACACAGCACCTTCTCGTGCTGTACTAGCTCCGTTGGGTGGTTAAACTGCTTGGAGCAGCGACTGCAGCGCAGATCGGCGGGTTGCTCTACTTGGGAGGGCTCTTCAACTGAGGACTGTGGCTCCACTTCTTCTACAGACAGCGGTTCCTGTACCTGCTCTTGCTTGATCTCCTGCGGCGAAGCGGGAGCACTCTCAGGAACTGGAGAGGCTTCCCTGCTGGGCTCCTGCTTAATGGGAGCCGCTGCCGCTTCTCGGATTTCGGGTGTGGGTGCCCTTAGATCCTTGGTCTCCGGCTCATCAATGTCCATGACCAGTTTGGGCTCATCCGGTGTCTCCTCCTCGGGCTCACGTTCCTCCTGCTCCAGCTGCTGCTGCTGTTGCTGCTCCTGCTCCTCCCTCTGCTGCTGACCTGCAGCCGTGAGTTGCAGCAGTCGCTGGATGCTGTACGGATGAACACGAGGATCCAGAGCGGCGGCAGCCATGAAGGGATTGGGGAAGGAAAACAGAGCCGCATTCATGTAGTTTGTGGGATGGAAGGGTTGGAAAGGCGTAGCAGCCGCATTTCCCGCCTGGCCTTGAGCATCGCTGGCAAAGTAGATCATCGGATTGGGCAGTCCCGGAAGGCCCGATTGCTGCTCCGGCTTGAGGCCCTGATCGGAGGGCGAGCGACGAGCGCCGCCTCCGGAACCGGGACTCTTCTCCAGACGCTTGAGCAGAGCACGGTTGTTGTTCAGCTTGAGGCCCATGCTGATGCACTTCTTGGACGTCATATGGGAGGAGAAGCTGCCCGAGTGGGAGAAGCGCTTGCCGCAGTTGTCGCAGCCAAAGGGCTTTTCCCCGGAATGGATCCGGACATGTTCCTTGAGGTGATGCTTGAACTTGAAGGCCTTGTCGCACTCCTTGCACTTGAACTTTCGCAGCAGAGCGCTCTCATCATGGCTGATCATGTGACGCTGCAGGCGATACACATTCGCGAACGCCTTCTGGCAGATCCGGCAGGTCTGGAAGGGATAAAGAGATAAAGGATTAACGTGGGGTCTTAAATTTTACTATTTTTAATTAAATATTAAAAAACACAGTCCATCACTAAGGCCCTTTGTGACGGCTTTCTAAGATTCCCTCATTCTACGTTCTTCTACATATTGGGGGAAAGAAAACAAGCGAAAACAGTTACCTCTGCCAACTGCGACGCGAGCAGCGTCGCAGCAGCAGCTGACATTCTGTCAGTGTAGTTGTTGTTGGTCTCTGCTTGATTTTTGGGGCCACGCAGAGCGAATACGAAAAAAAAGAACACCAACGCACAGGTAATAAAAATTGTTTAAAACAACAAGCGCGCGTATTTATTTGTTTTAAATTTAACGGCTTTCTAATTTGTTTCAAGGCAAGAAGAAAGAGACCACAAAGCAGGCCAAATCAAAAGCGACCACGGAAAACGATCCATTTTTTGGTCGCTGCTGTTTCCCCGAGTCGTAAATGCAGATATTTTTTGGATATTTCGAAACATTGTTGTGCCGGAGATTTGCACTGCAAAACGTTTTTAAATCGAGCGCCGTAAAACGCAATAAAAAGACGCGAAAACTTCAATTAAAATGGAAATTAAATAACGAAGAAGCGAACGAAGAGCGGAACGCGAGCGCGGCGAACAACAGCGAAGAACGAAATGAAAGCGGAGAGACGAAGAGTTGCGGTATGAGCAGGGCAGTGCGAAAGGGATGGCCATAGTTCCACTTCCAGCGAAGGTGGAGTGGCGGCCACAACAGAAACAACAATGCAAGGTGAGGAAGAGAGCACGAAAAGACCCCACAGCGAGAGACAGAGAGAGCGCGCGAAAGAAAGAGTGTGGGGTCAGGAGAGAGCACGAACACAAGCTGTGCTCAGCTGTGGGATCCCAATAAAAATTAAACTTCAATTGGAAAATTGCGACAAAAAAGAACGAAAACTAAGCCAAACAATCAACAAAGGCCTAAAATAAACAGATGCAACAGCGCGTCGGGCGCCCATCACATCACATCAAATGTTTCAACAGCTGATGCTAATCAAATCTTTTTGTTTGTGCTTTGATTTTGATTTGTTTGGCAACAAATTGAACGCATCAAATGCAGCTCCCACTCTCTCGTTTAAAGGTGCAGCGCGGTGTAAAGTGAAAATGAAAGGGAAAGTGGAGCCAATTCCACTTTTCCACTTAGCTGCCGCGTTGAAAGATTTGCGGCGCTTTCGGCGGACAGATGGCAACACGTGTTGTTATCCCCCTCCCACTCCCGTCCATCTATCTCTCTATCGAGCGAGGCGGTGTAAGTGTTGTTTACCGTCCAGGCGTTGAACTTTCATTTATTGCTGTCTCACCTTCGTTTCATCGGAATCGAATAACATTTGTTATTGCCAAAGTTCACGACACTGGACGATCGTTATCATAATTAAGCTGCTATTTGCACGACCTGAGCTGTATGCGTCAAAGGGGGACATTGGGACTATGCCACAATTGGAAGAGCTAAAAACCTCTCCTGGAATTTATCTGTAACATATTTATAAGCCCCACTGTATCGCTTTATGGACGTTGACGCCTCATTGCCGGTTAACTCATGAATTTCAATTAACGCGCATTGCGCTATTAGTCATTATCATCAACGCATAACCAATTTACACTCGAGATGAGATCACAAATTCCCCCTCGAAACTGTAAAAAAACACACACCAACTCAAAAACTATTATTATGTATTGTAATTAGTTTTGTTCGACAACGTGACACCGTGTTTATTGTTTTTAGCGTGCGGAGAAAAATAATACATTTATAGCGATCCTAATTTGTTTGTGCTGCTGCTGCTAAAAAACAAACGGACGGGAAAATGTGCTTTTCCCTCATCGTTTCGACAGCCATAACAATTTCCGTTTCCGTTTGGAAACTCTATTTCAATTTCAAATTCAAATGGAAACTCAAATTCCAATGTTATTTTACCTGCCACGCTTGTTGCAGCCAACTGGTGACGTCAGTCCTACTCCCCAAAATGACAAAAGTCAACAGAAGAGGAAAAACAGCAGCGGCCATTTGCCAGCCAGGTAAGTGAGTGAGTGAGTACGAGAGGCTTGCTGTTGCTGCAGCATGGCCACCACCTGTTGTTGGCTCACTCCCACTCACTTACACAGGCGCAATGGCAGCAAAAACTCGTTATCTCCGCAGCCATTTCATGGCGTGCGGAGTCAGTTGCTCGCTCTGTCTCGCTCTGGCTCACCGCATAAACATAAGCACTCTCTGCGCTTAATCAGGTTGTTGGAATGCGATTGTCGGTTGTAAACCGCAGCGATTACGCCTACCTAGAACCGTAGAACTATAGAAGCAGTAGAACGCAATGCGTACAGTGGTAACTGGGAAACAGGTGATATAGTGGGAATAGGCATCGAAAAATTATGCTTACAAATATTATGAAAGCTAAAGTTATTGTGAAACACCTGTGATAAAATGTTAAAAACTATTAACAAAGTTTAGGCTTTCGAATATTGAGTGACCACTGTAGACACCTCACTGAGCGGACATTAAACCGCCGCTCACAATGTACGCGCTTTGTTGTCGTCGCCGTCGTCGTCGGCGTTATCAATTAAATGTAAAGCGAGGCGCAGCGCAAACGAAATGGAAATGGAAATGAAAATGGCAGCCGTGAGATACGCCACAGATACACCACTCACACAGATACTCTGCAAACACACACGCAGCCATCATGCTTAGTGCACACGTTTACAAAAGGTAAGTTCCATTTGTTATTTGTTGATGCGTCAGCCGGATTCTTCTTATGCGCTTTTGTTGTTGTAGTTATTATTATATTTGCGATGAACTGACAGCGGAAATGCCAATTGAAGCTACCTTTTAACAAAAGCCCCACGAAGATGTCCGCCAACCCGGGGGTTAACTGCCGGGACAGCTGACGGACAGAGAGAGAGACGGTGTGTGCATGACTCAAGTGTGTTTTTCAGGGGAGCCAGTGCCACTTGAGCTAAAGTTGAAAATTGATTGATTCCCCTGAAACGAATGGGCCATTGGCGCACATGGAATCCACCACAGGCTAACCTAACCACTCGAGTGAGTGGCCAAAGGTACAGTCTAACCTCTGTGGCATTAGCGTCGATAAGCCACGCACACGCGCCCCTTCTTTGCCACATGTTGCTAGCCGCTTAATTAATTAAATTTCATCTGAACTGAACGAAATGAAAGGGAATGAGGAGGCTACATCTTTGGCTGAGTACACGGAAAGAAATATTTACGTGTAAATGGTAAAAAATTGTTTAAATACATAGTTTAATTGAAAGACTTGGTATAAGTATGTCAATTATCGATATCTTTGTTTTTCATGTTTCAAGATCGATCAATTTTATTAGACCAACCTTTTTGATTATATTTATTCCTAAAATTTGTACTGTTAACCCAATTTAAATTCCCTGTTATTTTTCTTAGGTACAACAAGAATCACCTTATCTTTATAATGCTTATTTGAGTACAGATACTTATTCCTATTGTGTATCTTTGTAGTTATCTCATTTAAAATACACGCACTTTACATTTTTCTGCCAATTTTGTAACGTGTACTTTCATTGTTCCACGGTGGAACTTCCACCTTAAAATCGCTATTTGAGTTCCAAGAATATTCGGGGTAATAATATTCATAGCTGATAAGGCCGAGCACTATCGCTTACTCAATCGATTCGAGAGAGGCGCGTGTGCGCGTAAACAAGCAGAAAGCGGATCAGGGCCGGGAACTGGACTTAAAGTGGAAACTGTGACGGTGCTGGGATTGCGGATTAGGCAGTGTGAAAACAATACCTAAACCCGGCTCTATCTCCCGATTTGATTTTTCAATCAGGTGAGCCCGAATAAATATTATTTTAGAAAGTCAGCGGGATGTAGCTGACTTATCAGTTGCCCGAAAATTCAGCCGGAAACTACTGGTGATAGTAATTTTCTGGACCACACACATGGTTCTGGCTTCAAAGCGCTCGTCATCGTAAATTGTACTGGACATTGCATTTTGGCCTGTTTAAATTGCAGGCGACAAGCCTTTGGCTATAATTATAGCCACGCTTCGTAGGTGGGCCAGAAACGCCCGCAGCCGCCGCCCAACTAATAGACAAATCAAACGAACGAGGCCCACTCAAGCACACATGCAGAAGTATCTATGTGTGTATATAGACCAAGATAATGTCTCGGCGGAGACAGAGAGCTAATTTGTGAACGTATCTCACGATTTGCTGGGGCCAAAATGCTTTATGCAGTGAGTGACATGGGAATTTGGCCATAATAGCGCACATAATTGGCCGTAAAAGATGATCGACCAAAGGGAGATCGTTCGGCTTTCAAAGTGACAACACCAAAAGGCGAACAAACAATGTTGACAAAATACCGACCGATGTCACGGTGGATAATAATGGATACAGTGGGGCTTGAAAATTTATAGATATTGATGACTATATATATAGAATGTGTAGTACATAGATTGTAAATAGTATAGTTGTAGTTTATTTTATTAAAGCCTACAATCGATAACTAATCGCTATTAGTTATCTCACAATTTTAACAAAACTTGTAATTATAATGTGATTATTTTATTTATTAAATATCTCCATAATATTTAACTATTTGTCCCAATCAATAGATAACCCCTATTTTCTATAAAACACCCTTAGTTTTTGATACTTCCAATCGATAAGCCTTCAACTCAAAACGATTATTTCGATAACTCATTTTTTTGTCACACCACGAATTTTTATGAAATCGAATAACATTTTCGAAACGCACTGTAGGTGAAACCAAAAATGTGGACATGGGATGTCTATATAGTATCTATTAGATATAAAGAAGCGCACCTGTCGCCTGACGAAATGCGTAAACAAAAATAACAACAAGCGACAAGCTCAAAGTTTTGTGTGCTCCTCTGTTTTTCTTTTATTCTATTTTATTCTTTTTGAGGTCAGCTAGCAGAAAACGACAAAAAACAAAAATAATAATATTAACGACGC